ACCAAAGGAGGCATACTTTGGTTGCTCCTTATTATATAAACAGAAACCAGTGAATTTGTCTGCAAGAGTAAAGAGAAGGCCAGTTATTCAGGGGATACAGATGCTGTGTATTAAATGAAACTGTAGCTCTTATGGTGAGAAGAAAGCGTTATTGCCGTTTTGGGCAAGCCAAGTAAATGCAGTTTGCACAATCTCATGCAAGATTTCACACCATGCATTAGCTTTTGTAAAATGTGCTGAAGATGACTCTCAGATACTACCACACCCAGTACCTAATTACAGTCATTTATGTGGTTGCTGAAGTGAGCTGATTCCTAAATTAATCCATTGCAGATGTACTTCTGGACTATTTTCTGAAAGTTTCATAAAAATTTGCTCTGTGGTTCATGAGCTATTTTGCTAAGAGACGAACAGGGTTGATGCCAACAGCTAATGACAAAGGTTTTAAGCATAGATGTGCTATGGATAAGACTTATTGTATTGCGTGAATGAATTTCAGCTACAAAACTAAATTTGAACTTATCGTTTTGTGTTTTCAATGCTTATAGTTGTTGCGACCATTTTGAGTGAGATTGACTCCAATAGTTGTAGATGTAATTACCTTTCTGAGAAATTTATTAAACTCTATCCAGTGGTTCATCTGATATTTTCTTACCCCAAACATACATCATACAGAAGAAGACATGAGTCTTACTGTACTTGAAACTGGTAGCAGGTTAGTTTTAATTTCACACATTCCACAGTACTTGTAAAACTCTCTCTACTTATAACTCCAGTATTGTCAATCTACCTTAATTCTTTGAGTTTCAATTGTAATCATCTAAAATTTGTTTCATTAAGTGTCTTCATGGACAGAGGAGCAGAAGCAACCAAAGAGAGTGAAATGAAAACACCTGTGCAAATAAACCATGAGTTTTCCACTTGACAGCACTCTGAGGACAGATGCATCTGTGGTTTCGTTTGTGCAGTTTTTCAAGGTGAAACAGCTCAGCAGCAATGGTACTGAATGTTTGTTTTTCCCAAGATGTGTCTCATGAACAAGTTATGAGTTTGAGTTTTTACAGTTGGTTCCTGTTTGTTTCTGTTTCAAAAGTAAGTGTGGGTGACTGATCCTGCTCTGAGTAATATGAAATAAAGTGTTTTTATTTTTTTAATCTCAATTAGTATTAGAATTTGTAGCTAAATTTGTCATTATGAACATATTTCTTGCCTCTGAAAAAAATATGAAAATAACTAAAAATACACACACACACACACACACGCACACACGCATGCACGCACGCACGCACGCACGCACGCACACACACACGCACACACGCATGCACGCACGCACGCACGCACGCACACACACACACACACACACGTATATATATAACAATTATAGATGATTAGCAGAATTAGAAAACACAAATACTGCATTTTAGGTTGGTTGCTGATAAACTAGTAAAGGATTGAATCAACAGGTTAATAGATATGTGTAGTTAGTCCAATGTCCTAAAGTGGGCAGAAAACATAGAGCCAGTTTTATTCTAACAGGTTCCTAACTGCTTAAAGTCTCACCTAGAGTTCTTGTTTCAAATGCTACTTTATCAGGATTATTTTTATTAAACCATAAACAGGTGATTAAATGTAATATTTGGAAGGATCAAAGCCCGAATCATTAGATTATTAATGTTATTTTCACATATTTTGGTCAATAAAGTAATTATTTGCTCCCAACCTACAAAAAAGTACTTTTTTCGATATTTATTGCTTTTGATCAGTTTAAAAATTCAATTAAGTTTTAAGGCAAAAAAAAAAAAAACCTACAAAGACAAATATTTTTGCAAAGCACTATATTTTCAGTAATTATCTATTATTATAATACTGTAGGAGATGAAAGAAAGGTCACATGCCATTGGGAAAAAATTATATTGTTGATGTGGAAACTCTAATGAGCATTCTGCAAAGTCTTCAGACCAGGTGTTGTTTTAATGAATCGTTCAATAAAACAATCATAAGTATGAGCATGTCTATAAAAAGGTTTCAACAGCTTATTGCTCTGGAGCTTTCAGTTAACGTAATGTTATTGTTTCAAGATATTGTTGTCTCTTTAGTGAAATGGACTTTTTCTGGGGTTTAAAACCCAAACTAATTGTTGAAATAATGTAACTGACACCAAAGAGAAACAACAAACCACATTTTACAGAAAAAAAAACAGAATTTTATAATATTATTCAGCACATCTCCATGGTTAAATGCACACATTTTTACTTTCTTTACTCATTTTGTTTTCCAGTGTATTGAAATGTATGCATGTATGTATGATTAAACTGATTTAGCAACGATTTTATATTTTTAAAGATAAAACTTTTCAGTATCCTGAATTTTTGAAAAACTGTTAACCATGACAGCTCTGCAGCTCTTTATGCACTGAATTACTTGACTCAAGAGGATTAAATAAATATAGGCAATCTAACAGTTTAACACAGTTTCTCTTAGTCTCCACTAGAGAGCACAGTTTGCTCTGGAAAAGCAAATCTATCTTCTCTAAGTTCTTAATGTCACTCTACATTCAGATGAAATAGCTATAATTTCTAATGTTAATTAACTGTATATGTGCAAAAATTCTGAATTAACAAAGCTGTGGTGGTCTTTAGTGCCATTACAGCAGTTTGAAATCCCCACCGAACAGCTGAGAAACAAAATAAAGTGAGGTAAAAAAAAATTGTAAAGGTGTTTTGCAGTTGAACAGCTCCCTTGATCAACATAGAATATTCTGTTCATTGTTGTTCACTGTTTATGTTGGACAGCATAAATAAAAACTAAATATAAACATGAAAACATAGCGAATTTGGCTAATGTTTAAGTTTGCTTCAATTTGCAGTATTTTCTCTCAAACATTGAAGATTATCACACAGCAAACTGTTTGATTCTTAAAAAGGACGGGACATAGATGACAAAAACAACAAACAACATTCAACCAATTCAGACACTGACATTTTTATGTACAACCAATCATGAAGTGATAATTGGAGGGAAAAAAACAAGGAATGTAATATTTTATCTTAGTAAAGCTGAATCCCTCAGAGTGAGAGTGACCCTTTGCAACATTAAATCCATTACAAGCTTGGGAGAAGAATACAGCCATAAGCTCCAAATCTCTTTAATACAACGCCCATTAGGAAAGTGCTGAGCTCTTTACTGACAGCTAAGATGCTCCAGCACTCAGAAACATGTGGCCTCTGCTCTACATTCAGACAGTACAAAAATCAGTACTAACACTCATATAAGTAAATATTTTCGATTGCATTTTTCTTCTTCTCTTCCTATGTCTTCCTACCCACCCCCTCAAAAAAAATAATAATGCTTTATTGATAATGCATTTATTATTATTAATTGAAAAGCATTTAGAGGGAGGGATTCTGAAATGGTCCATTAAGTTTCAGCTTGTCATAAATTGTCATAAATTTTAGCATCAGAGCAAAAACGCTTGACAGTAGTGGATCCTGGTCTATCATTATTGCACACCCCTGAAGAGTGAAAGCAGGTGGTTCTGTTTTTGCTTATGTCTGTGTCTGTCTGGGTTGGCTCCTGTGTTTGTGTGTCTGCTACCAGAAAATATTTCAGTATTTCAGGAACCACTGAGCAAATTCTTATGAAACTTTATAAAAGTTTTCATTTGGTATTTTACAGCTGACTTTGAAATCAAAACACAATTCAAGATGGATGCCACAGTTTTCTGACGTTAGCTAATTTGTCTGGTGCGAAAGGTAGTGGATGATCTGCATTCCTTTAAGAATGGGAACGACAGGAGGTAGGGGTTCATCCTGCAGTGAGTTGTTGGTTTGGTTTGGTTCCAGTGTATGGCATCCTCAACTCTGCCAGTGTGCCTCAGGGCAGCTGTGGCTACAATGTAAAGTAAGAATGTGTTTATGAATGGGTGAATGACTGTAGTGTAAAGTGCTTTGAAGTTTTTGGACTTGATAAAGTGCTGTATAAGGAATTTTAGACCGTCACATTTTTGCATTTGAGTAAGTTGAGGAAAGTAAATCAATTTACTATTTTTTATAAAAGAAAATATGTAGTTGCTCAATTAGCTTAACTTGTTTAGTGGATCCAACTGACATAACTTGGTTAAATAAATTCAACACTTATTTTTTTTGAGTGCATAAACAGCTCATTTTCATGATGAGTTCCGATCATATTTAAAATTGTGGTGTATAATGAGGTGTTAAATTTTAACACAAAGAAGTAAAAGTATCATGGTTGTGTTTTAAATTTAACAAAATAAAAGTAAGTTATGATTAAAAAAATACTTGGTAAAATTACAGATCCTTGGAAAAATTACTTAATTACTATGATAAAGTAAATGTATTATAGTTACGATACACCTTTGATTACTAATGTCAAAGGTTTAACCTTTAAAACTGACTTTAATTGATGTTTTTACTTGTTTTTCTTCTGATTCGAAGAAATTAAGGTTTTAGTGAACTTCTGAAAGGTTTTTTTAAAATGTTGCACTTTGGTTTAGACTTGGGCCTTGGGATTTTTTTCAAAGAAGTCTTACAAAATTCTTCGGGCCCCCTTAAAACTCACTTACTCCTCTGGCTAATTAACTTGCTCTATGCAGAGGTTTTTTCATAAACACCAAAGTGTGTCACTGTGTTGATACAATATGATGTTTCTGCTTTTTTCCTAATTTTCCCTTGTGTGGTTTTCAGTTTTTCTGTTTTTCTGTTTGTCTAAAGGTAGCGCAACTGTGTTTGCTGCATGACCTTCTTAACTGCCCCTTCCCCCCTTCCCTGAACATCAAGCACCTTTGAATTTATTTCTGTGAAAGGCGCTATATAAATAAAACTTTACTTACTTTACTTACTTACAAATAAAGCTGATATGAAAACCTAATAAAAATTTGCACACCTTTATTTGTTTAGCAAATGCAGCCTTCAGGAGTCCCTCAAACAGATTGTCAACACTTTTAAAATAATCATGCTCTCAAAATAAGCACCTAATTCATATCTCATATATGAGAATAAGCAGGTGTAACCTTAATAACTTGATGAGTGATCAGTTATGTTTGCAGTGATGGCTGGATTAGATATTAGCTGTGGCCTAAATCAATTTGTGCTGACAGATTTGGAAAGTGATAATCCAAGGTGTGCCTTTTAAAAAGCCCGACCGTAGCCCTCATATCCATTTGTAGCGCAGTCCATCTCTGTCTCGCTCCAAAACAGCCAAGAAGAAACACAACTGAAGGGGCTGATAGCAACCGCAAGCCGCAACCATGAACGGCACAGAGGGACCCTATTTTTATGTCCCTATGGTAAACACCACTGGGATTGTCCGGAGTCCTTATGATTACCCTCAGTACTACCTTGTCAACCCAGCAGCCTATGCTGCTTTGGGCGCCTACATGTTTTTCCTCATCCTTGTGGGCTTCCCCATCAACTTCCTCACTCTCTATGTCACCATCGAACACAAGAAGCTGCGAACCCCTCTAAACTACATCCTGCTCAACCTCGCGGTGGCCGACCTTTTCATGGTGTTCGGAGGATTCACTACAACGATGTACACCTCCATGCATGGCTACTTTGTTCTAGGGCGCCTTGGCTGCAATTTGGAGGGATTCTTTGCTACCCTTGGTGGTGAGATCGGTCTCTGGTCACTGGTTGTGCTGGCTATTGAAAGGTGGCTGGTTGTCTGCAAGCCCATCAGCAACTTCCGCTTTGGTGAGAACCACGCTATTATGGGTTTGGCTTTCACCTGGGTCATGGCCTGTGCCTGTGCCGTGCCCCCCCTAGTCGGCTGGTCTCGTTACATCCCTGAGGGCATGCAGTGCTCATGTGGAGTCGACTACTACACCCGGGCAGAGGGTTTCAACAATGAGTCCTTTGTCATCTACATGTTCATCTGCCACTTCCTCATCCCACTCACTACTGTGTTCTTCTGCTACGGCCGTCTGCTCTGTGCTGTCAAGGAGGCTGCTGCTGCCCAGCAGGAGTCCGAGACCACCCAAAGAGCTGAGAGAGAAGTCACCCGCATGGTCGTTCTCATGATCATCTCCTTCCTGATTTGTTGGCTTCCTTATGCCGGAGTGGCCTGGTATATCTTCACACATCAGGGCTCTGAGTTCGGACCTCTCTTCATGACCCTCCCAGCCTTCTTTGCCAAGAGTTCCTCTATCTACAACCCACTCATCTACATCTGCATGAACAAGCAGTTCCGCCACTGCATGATCACCACCTTGTGCTGCGGGAAGAACCCCTTCGAAGAGGAGGAAGGAGCATCCACCACTGCCTCCAAAACCGAGGCCTCCTCTGTTTCCTCCAGCTCTGTGTCTCCTGCATAAACAGAGCACAAAGCGAAGGGTCAAAAATCTACCATCCAAGAAGAAGACTTCTGCCCCCCCAGGGAAACGACTGAAGGCTAACGTCTACAGAAATATTATCCTTTTTTGTATTTTTACAAACCAGTTGGTTCAACCTAAAGACAGTTGCAGGAAAGGTCGGCCCATTACAGAGTTGATCCTGTATGTACAGAATATCCAACTAAATAATCTATGAGATGTTTTTTTTCCTCAGAATAATGGAAAAAAATGCTATTCTTTTACAGTTGGATCCTATATGATAACTGGCTTATTTTTGAATGTAGAGGCATGTAATCAAGGCAACGTAAAATAAAACGCACTTTGCAAATGACTCATCCGATTTATGTTTTAATTCTAACTTGGGTGGAAAACTTCATATGACTGTAGTATATTTAATTAAACAAATAAATGTGACTGACCTATTCAAAATGCATTTATGTCTGGAGTCAGTTTCTACTTGTTATGTCAGTGTATACTTCTCCTTTGTATCAGAACTTTAGAATAAACAGCAGCTTAGACTATAGCTGGATTTTTTACAAGTTGGTGAATGCATTTAATCTCATTTTAATCATAGGTCACCTTGGACATAGATCTGAAAAGAATTATAACACTAATCCAGGATAAACGTGCATGACACAACAACCAGCTTTGTCTTATTGTGAGCATTATTTATTGAGGTTAACAACAAATTATAGTTAATACTAAGCTGTAATTACTAAAGGACACCTTAATACAAAGGTAATGAACATAAACCACATCTCTACTGTGGAAAACCAAAGGTGGAGAGAATAAATAAAAAAACTATTCAAAGATTTAATCAGAAACCTTAAAAGGTAATCACCAGATGTATACATTGTTTAAATGTTGCATACAATTTCTCTGCAAATCTAAATAATTTTCAAACTTACTTTGTAAAACATAAACCCCAAAGTATTTTGTGGTGACTGCAGCTGCTATATTGCAACAATAACTGAGGGACAATAATTTTTTTTTTACAAACTATCTTTTACAAAGTTACAAAGTTTTTCAAGGCTATAAAAAGTATCTTCTCTTAGGGCTTGTAGTAGAATGGTAAAACTCAAGTGATAGTTTTAGTTTTCTTCCACTGTTGAATTATTTTAAAGTATACTGGATCTTTAAAAAAAATCTATAGCCCTTCTACAGTTACCTGCATGTGAAGCTACAGCAGCCATAACGTTACAATGTTTAATGATATGTTACCGGAGAAGTTGAGGTCAAACTTAAGAAAAAAATATTGTATTATTTTGTGACAACTTAGCACTGAAAGATGAAACCTCTTCAGTCTAAGTTCAAATCCTAATATTTTGTATTTTAAAGATATTTAAATTTTGTTTGCATAAAACAAGGAGGTTGTGTTTTGAAAGTAAATGCCAGTTAAAATGTAACAATATTCATCACAGCCACACAAGTCTTACATGTCCACTCATATTTTATCTAAAGTTGGTTAAATTGTACTAAATGAGATGCTCAGTCGTACCAGTGGTACACTATAGTGTCATGCCTATACAGTTAAAGTTTTTGTGTGTCTTGGTTAAGAGAAGGCATTGTTTTATAATTTATTAAGCACTCATTGGTCTATTACGTCATCAAACTTGTAAAATTACAGTTGCATGTTTCAAGATAGGTAGACCCCCCAAAATTATAGGAAACTAAGATGAAATTACATGCATCTTAAAAGATTTTAAAAAAAATCACAGACAGGCTTTAAAAGCCTGTCTGTGATTGTATGAATAACATGCAACACTAATTTGCCAATACAAGCAAAAAGCTAAATCTTTGGAATATTCAGAAATGACCATTTTGAGACAATATTTCCATGTTACTTTTGTGTTAAATGTATAAATACTGTGTGTGCAGGCTAAACCCCAGTAAATATTGCTCTAGCTCTACAGTCAGTAATGATACATTTTGTAACATAGCGTGACTGCAACTGATGCATCAGACTCGACTTCAAAGGCCTCTCCCGAGATGTGCGCTTGTGCAGAGAACTGAAACCATTTTGAGTTTGTATGGAAAACTTTATTTGATAATAAAAATAGCATCCACAGACTTCTTTTGATAGCTACATATACATTGTAATCCATCTCAAGGAAAAGAAGCTGGATAAGTCCACATCTACTTGTACTTTGACTAATGTTATGTTTAGCTTCATGGGTCAAATAAAGCTATGAACAATGTAGTATTTATATATGCATAGTTATATAAAAAAGATTGGCCCATATACATGTACTGCTTTTTATCAACACAGAGACAGCATTATGTCTGGAGCACGTTGCAAGAAATAATGCTTGAAAAGAACACAGACTGCATACAAGTGCTTTATAATACAAAGGCAGGCTAACCATAGAGATAATCAAACCATCAGCTTCTGATTGACCACATACAGTCTTTCACGTTAAAATGTCTTTACATACCTGATCCGGAGTAAATCAACATATTTACCATAAATCATCAGGTCCATTTCAGAGATATAAACATAAAATCACATTCCTCTCTGCTGAGGGGTTTTCATAAATTTCTCTTTTTGTGCAAGAAAAAGGCAACATTTTAATTCTTGACGTGTTCCTACAGTGTTGGGGGAACTCTTTACAGGTGTTGGCCAAACTCTCCTTTTTTTTACAGTTATTTTTTTTTCTTGGTTACAGTACCATGGTGACAACAGTGATGGAACAATGCATTTGTGGTTTACCCAATATATAGTTTTAGTTCTTAAACAAAACATAAGACAGAAAACACACACAAAAACACATGGAAAAAAATAAAAGCAGCAGTCAGACTCCAGTGGCGTGACAGCATGGCTCAGCATGGCAGATTAGTTGTCTCCTCTACCAGGACTCTTCATATGTTACCATTACAGCAGCTCTGTGTGTGTCAGGACCCAGGAGGTGTGTGTGTGTGTGTGTGTGTGTATGTGTGTGTGTGTGTGTGTGTGTATGTGTGTGTGTGTGTGTGGTGGTGGCGGGGGGGATCAGGGTTTCAAATGTGGACATAATAAGTATGAGGGGATTGGGGCCACCTATTACTGTGGGATTACAGCGTGTTTCCTTATCCTTTCTTCTCACTCACCATTTAAAGTGGTTACACTACATTTTAATTTACACATGCATCTTGCACAGAAATAATTTACATTTTTTTTCTTTTTGGCATATCTGCACAATCGTACTTCATGGCAGCTTCAGCTGGTATTGTGGCGTAATGCAGACTAAATGATTCCACTCAACTGAGTAACAAATCTGACTGTCATTTCCTCACAGGACAGAACAACTCCCCCAGAGGTGGACGAGAGGCAGGCCTCTTTGTTTACTGTATCAGTGCACAAACGGGGAAAGTTTTTTTCCTAAAATTTCCATTTTAAAGGATACTAAAGAAAAAAGTGATGCCAGCTTTCAATTCGCTTTTGTGATTTGTTCATCTCTCAAGAGCAAACAGCTGTCAAACATTTCAATGCAACACAATTGGGGCGACAGCAACACACATCCTTAATGATTCAACGCTGCTGGCTCAAAACATGTGGCAATTTAAAAATAAATAAAGAGCAAATTCATTATTTCCATATATTATTATTTTTTATATAATTTAAAACTCTAGCGTTGTCATCCAATCTTAAATTTAGATTTGTTTCTCTTTGACTCCATTGTGAACCATCAACATCTTGTTCCAAAGTTTGTTCAGTAAAAGCAATTCAAGAGTGGAAAAAGACAAAAACAAGCTCATTAATTAGAAGTTACCACAAATGGAAGCATTTTTTTTCATACCTCGGAGGGAACAAATATTTAAAGTCAGCAATGTCTACAAAAAAGCAACATCACTGGTTTCATATGCAGGCACATACAATACCATTACTACAGTACAACAACCTCTGTTATGTTCAAAATAACTAGAACAATGACAACACAACTGGTAGAAACTGATAGAAGGATTGTACTCCTGCTGTTTTATTAATTTCTGGGTTGGGACCACAAGTAGGTTAGTCAATCAAATGAATCAATAAACAATTCAACCAAATAAAAAGAATAAGAGTTAGTATTGTCAGAAGTCCAATTCCAGTGTATGGTACAAAGTTTGCACAGATAGAGGAGAGAGCAGTGGGGGGGGACCTCTGCTAGATGCTGAGGTCTTTAGGACTTTCTTTGTACAGCCTCCTCTTGGGTTCAGGGACGTGGTTTGAGCTGCGGCCCACTGTGTTATTGTTATGGCCTGTGTTGTTGTAGGTAGCATTGTTGTGTGCAGCGTTGTTCTTCATCATGCTGTAGTAGTCCTTCAGTCTGGGTGCTGCTGCATAGTTCAGCTCGTCCCGGCTGTAGTTGCTGTCAGGGGAAGAGTCCCGCTCTGGTTTGTATCGTCTCCCCGTTGTCCCATTCACGCGATGTCGTTCCTCCCTTCTCTCCGAGGAAGAGTCTCTAAGAAGGTTGCCGTTTTTCGTGGCTTTATCGTACGTGCGGCCTCTGGAACGAGACAAGGAATCTGCACTGTTGTTGGTGCGCTCAGGGGTTGAAGCCTCGCTGACTCGCCCAGCTATCTGCGAGTCCTTGAGAAGCCTCCGCTCGTGAAACCTTCGTTCGGGGGTGACCGAGAGGAACCCTCCGTCGTCGTGTTCTCCCTCGGGCGTGCGGTCACGATGCCCTCGCTCCGCCCTGCGGTCCATGGATTTTGCCCGTCGACGATCCGGAGACGAGGCGCGCTTTCGGGTTGGCGAGCGGTCAAGGGAACCACGACGCTGTCGAAGATACTTCTCGTCCAAAGTGGAACTGCTGCTCGAAATCTCTCGGCCTCTTAGTTTTTCGGCGGCTGCGGCCTTTTTCCCCGAGTTGTCCTTCCTCAGAGTTTTTAGAAGTTTAGAGATGCCACTCTCGGACTCAGACTTCTTGACTTTACGGCCTCTGCTCTTCTTGTTGCCACTGTTGCTGCCATTACTGTCGGGGGACTGCTGTCTGGGTGTACTTTGACTGTGATTATTATTCCAAGTGTAATGATGATGGGGGTTAAACTGTCGGCCTTGGAATTCCATCTGATTTGAACCAGCCCTGTCCCTGTACTTGTCCATACCTCGGCCACGAGCAGCCTCCTCCAGGCATGATGATTTGTGAAGGTCTGGTGGATAACTGGACTCGAATGAGATGTGATATTGGCTGCTGGGTGTCAAGAATCTCACTTCCGGAGTGTTTTGTGCCCCGGGTGTGGGAGGGTGCCCGTCACTGCTGCCGTCTGCAGAAGAGGAAAAAAAGGACAAACGTTGAAAACAAACACCTATAAAGGGAATTGCTTGGATGAACTGCACACACTCTCGGTTTATGTGAGTTTCTTTGGCATGACAAAAACAAAATCAATGCAGAAATGGACATATGCATTGCTTCATATCCTTCATGTAATCCCAGAAACAAACAACCTAATCTAAATGGTCATTTAGTGGTTTGCACACACACAAAAAACACACCAGTGACACAAATAAAAAAGGCCTAAAAGTGTTTCTGCATGTTACAACTCTGGGTTGAAACGCAAGGTGATGTCAGCAGGTGCAACACATCAGCAAGTGTAGGGCAAGGGGTTATCAATGAGACAGCAGGCACCTAGGAAGTCATTTAAAACAAGATGTACACTGACTGGACGAACAGAAAATTAAACAGAAACACAAACAATAAAATATGCATTTCGATGAAAAGTTATGTGGGTTTCTATGGCAGCAGCGTTTGATGAGTAATGGCATCAAATAAATCCCTTTTTTACGTTGGCAAAGAGAAAGGATTTGTACATGTAACTCAGAAGTTACATTATGTCAAGTTTAATTCAAGCACGACGAGACGTGGCGTCAACACATCCGTACACGAACACAAAGCGGGATGCAATAAGGATGAGCTGAAAGGGTGTGTGTATAACTCGAGGAGGGGGAAGCAGGGGAAATGGTGGCAGGGAGGGCGAACTGGGACAGACTTTTGGCTACAAACCGTTGTCTGATTTTGGCCCATTAGGTAGAAACAGGGCTCTCCCATCTTGTCATTCCTCATTGTACCAACAGCGAGATGAGGAGCCATCATCGCTGGAGAGAGGAGGAGGAGGAGGAGGAAGAGCCCAGCAACAATCAGAAAGAAAAGGAGTAGAGAGAAGAAAACAAATAAAACAGACAAGAGGCTGTTTTACAGTACATCCACTTAGAGAAGAAGGGAATTGTTGTGAAAGACAAGAAAATATTACACCCTACACAGCATCAAAAATATTCTAAAAAATGACCCCCAAAGAAAACCTACTATTAAAATATTGTTACAGTGGTGTACTCAGGAGTCTGGACTGTATTATATTCTACTGCATGTACAGCAAAAGCAATTATCACCTTTATTCAGCAGAAGACTAAAACTACAGCGGTATGTTTACCTACCATATTCAGGTACAGAACCATCGCCTCTTTTTAGGACAAGCCGTGCCCTCCGCCCGCCGTTCTTGATCAGTTCAATGGCTCGCGAATGCTTCATGCTCTTTGTGCTCTCACCGTTAATCTCCAGGATCTCGTCTCCCACCTTTAAAACAGAGAGGTTGTGTAACTGCTGACTGATGATATGGCTGTGTAATGTGAAAAGAGGGAGAAATTCAGCCAGACAAAATCTGTTGGTTATCAGAAATCTGAGAAAATTGGACGCGCCGTACCCTCATTTTGCCATTTCTGACAGCAGCCCCATCCTCTGCTAGTCTCAACACGTACAGGTCCATGTTGTACTCCCGTCCCCCTCTCAAGCTGAATCCAAAGCCTTTACTGTCTCTCTCGAGGTCCACAGAATAAAACTCTGCTTCCTGTAGTAAAATCCCAAAGAAAGAGAGAAAAGTGAATTACAGTGTAAGAGGGGAGTCCAAAGGTGAATCCAAACTTCAAAACTAATCAAGCCATATCCCACAGAATCTCAGTGTGTCAATGGCAGTACAATACCTTAGACCGCATGAATAATTAATGCCACTGGTGCATGTGAGCAGGTTACTGATCACTAAGCAAGGGCAGCACAAGGGCTGTACCCCAAAGTCTTTTACATTCATCAGAAAGTTCCCTGGCATTGTCTCAGAGGAAATAATTAGCCTGGTTTCACCAAAATCTGTAACATGAGTGTGACCTCAGAACCCTGTGGAGACACGTAAGCACCTTACCAAACAATTGTCTAATTAAGCTTTTTGCCTCAGTCATGCATTTGTTCTGCACCACCATAGTGGACTGCCTCGTTACTTTTACATAAAGATAAAACTCAGAATCATAACATAAAATATTATTGTGTTGTGCTATATTAACATTTTATATATAAAACATTCAGCTCAGAACTCTAGCAAACATGCTCCTCACCAAACAAGACCGTTCGTTATAAAGAAAGCATCTGTAACTTTTTCAATAGTCTTTCCTCCATTTCTCTGTTAGTGTGTTGCTGCCCCCTTTTGACCAGTACAATATGTTGCAACAAAGACCAGGTTATGGTTGGTTTTCTTTCATCTGCTCCCTTCTTCAGGGGTCACCACAATGACCAAACTTCTCACAAAAGTCTCTGCAATTGTTTTACATCAGATGCTCTTCCTGATACGACCTGGGCTTGAATCCACTGCCTCAGGATTACGAGACCCCGACACTGACCACCAAGCCCCTTGTGACAAAGACCAAGTAATAAAGCCAACGAGCCCTGCTCCTGTCTTTTTTTTTCCAAATATTTCAGTGCATGAATACCTACCAAAAAGAAAAACTTGCTGCACAATAGTTCAAAGACTTATTGTTTTAATTTGATTCATTTCTATGACAAACACTTGCTTTAAAGTTTTCCCTTGTTTTTTATTTGTGTGATGTATGGACACAAATCCTAACCAAGAACTGTGTCTTAAATATTTTCACTTACTTGTGTTTGAGTCTGCGAAGGAGGTGGAGGAGGAGCTCCTTTTGACTTTGAATTATTCCTTTAAATGAAACACAGGGCAATCACAAATACCCACAGCACCCCAGGCTGTATTTAAAACTATACTCTTGGAAGAAAGTATTTTTATTTTAAAATAAAAGGATGTATCATCACATACCTGGACTCTGTGGAATGAGGTGTGTGTGTCGTGGTGATGGTAGCTATCTTCTCAGCATTAGTCAGCAGAGAAGCATTGGAAGATTCTAAAAAAAAAGGAAGAAAGAATAAGAAATAAACTACCTAAAAGGAAGTAGTTGCTTTTGTTAAAAGCACTGGCCTGAAGCTGTATTTCTAAAAGACTAAAGGACTCTCTGGAGAACAGAATGCTGCTGTCCAGAGGACTCCCCTTGAATCACCCACAGGCTGCATTCAGCCTGATGCTAACTGTGTATGATGCTGTCATTTGCCATTTGCTCAAGAACAACACTGGACCCTTTGCATGAAAGAAAAGTAGGAGAAACAAAAACTCTTGAGAAGTGTGATTTGGTTTCATCTTTTATTCTATGAAAGAAAAAAAAACAAGGACATCTGTCTTCTCTTGCCTCTCTTTTAGGAACAAAACACCACACACAGAATCTGTGACAGCAGCAAGGAGTATCTGTGTTTAGCAAAAACATCAATGTGACTCTGTTAGCTCAGGCTCCTTCTTAACTGTTCCCTCATTTCATGATAACCTATCTGCACTTCAGACACAAAAATGCCGTATTCCAAGTGTCTGTGGAAAGGTTCTGAACAATTAATACGCTACTTGATAGAGACAGCTCTTTGAATGGCCTCAGTTTGGAAAAACAGAGTTAAATTCTAACCATGCTAACAGTAGAACAAAGATCAAAGTAGGTTTCTGCTGTCTTAAAACAACTCCAGTCCTAAAAGAATTCAAGTGGTTCATGCAAATGTAATTTTAAAAACCTTACCAGTATTTTCCAATTGCATTGTTATTCCAGCAGAAATGTTAGGATATTTTTGCTACAAGTGCTCCAGGCTGCACCAGAAGAGCTAGTGCTAGCTGCGGATGCTTATTAGTTGCTCTTGGACATCCATTAGTTTATCCATTTGGTCCACCAAAAATAGTTGTATTTTTAAATCTTTCCATGGAACCCACATAAAAATATCTGAATTACCACATTAACTGCTCTGATTTTGTCCACCAGCAGCTCAATCACTAAAAAGCAACATTTTTTTCTTTCATTTTTCAATTAAGCTGCAGTCACTAAGTGGTGGTTTCTTGAGTGTATTTTGGGTAAACCGTGATTGGTTGGACTGAGTTGTGGGGGAAGTTAAAAGGTGTTTTGTAATAATATAATTATAGGGGAACATGCAAATATAATCTACTGCCTTCAAATTTGGTGTGGCTAGAACTTTCCTCTCTGATTATGTGACTAATATTAATTGTCATCAGTGGTGGGCAGCAGTAATTTAAGTTTTGGTTGTGCAATTTCTAAAGCACCAATCAATTTATTTAGGTCCGCAAGCACATATGCTCAATAAATCTTAACGGAGCTAATTCTAAAGCGCAACATTATCTTCATTTACCAGAAAGCATCCAGGTAAGAGAAAAGTCAGCACTTAACTACCATCTAATGGTAAGATTTGTTTCTTTGACAGACTGGCACATATTGGCGCAGAATGGGGAGGTGATTCATAGAAACAGACTTTTAAATCATGGTTGTAAAACAAAAAATAGTTGTGGATTGCTAGTTCTGCTGCTTCTTGGTCATTTTCACGTTTATGACAGGACTTCAGTAAGAAAACATGCAGATATATTAGTAATCTTAAACTGTAGTAAAACTGCATTCTGGGTAGGCTACAGGACACAGAACAGGAACTCTGTTCTTTTCAGAATAAGAGCGTGAATTTAAACTGTTCTGTGTTTCTTTCTTTACTATTATTTATTTATTTAATATTTATTGCCGCGGAGTCCCTCGGAGAGGAGGTACAATATACACAGCTGAGTGTGGTTCTGCAAATCAGAATCGCAGGTAGATTGTCACCCAGTGAAGAAGTTCTAATTGCTTCCTGCTACGCAAAGAATTGTGGGAACACTACAGTCTATACTAAGTGAAAACCATCAACGAGAAGAGTCAGAAGTCAGAGTACAAAGCTCTGTGAACGCAAAGCAGACTGAGGGATCGTTTCTTCACAGTGGAGCTTCATTGTGTTAAGTAGAGGCGGCTTTCCCCTTCATTGTTCAAGAAAAACAGCAGTTTTAATGAAAAACAAAGTTTTAATGAATTATGTGGCTACGAAGCGTAGTGAGTCTAGATGGCTCTTTCTCTTTACTTTAGATGAAATTGACGCTTGAATGTGAAACATCATTTGCGATTAGTGCTACTCCAAATTTAGAAAGCGCAAATCCGCACATCATTTTATGAAATTAGTAAAACCCCTAAAGCGCAAAGGAGAAATTTAGGTCCGCAATTAGTGCAATTACGCTTTAGGGGACTACCACCCACCACTGATATTCATACTAAAATAAGTGATCTTTTTACAGGCAGGTTAGGGCTGTTTCAACAGAGCCTAATTATTACACGAAATTCAAATTTCGTGCCACTAGCACCTTCCTGTATTGAGTTTTGACTCAAATTAATACTCAAAAAATTAGCGATCTAAACGGTTACACTCCCCCATAAGCTGCCTTACACAAACCACGCCCACACGTCAATCTGACCAATCAAGGCCTACCCAAACTACATCTACACTCAAGAACCTCCCACTTAGTGACTCAGACCCCTACTTGTATTTTTCAACATCTGGCATATTTGTCACAAACAATTGCACAAGACCAACAGGAAGAACTTAACTAACTGTGAGATGGGCCTTAGTTCATTCTCAATTGCAGCACTTTCATCAAGTCAAACAAACAAAAAGCAGAGCAGAGGTTTTGCGTTGAACAGTAGCTTCTGGAGGTGACTTCTTTTCCCTCACTGACTCTCCTTTTTGCATGAGGGTTCACACCCTGATGAGTAGTGCTCCTGCCTGTGAAAAGCATCCATGTCCTTTCCATCCCACTCCAACCATGAATAAGTCATGTCATGGTCCATTATGAAACAGGTATGCGAGACTGAAAGCCAAAGAGCCTTACCATCACCTGGGATGATCCTGAGTGAGACGGTGTTCCCGGCTTCCTTGATCAGGTTGACAATGTCAGAGTGAGACTTGTTGGTGATGGAGCAGCTGTTCACCGCCAGTATTCTGTCCCCAACCTTCAGCTTCCCGCAGCGGTCCGCCGGGCTGCCCTCGATGATGCGTCCTATTTTGTGGGGCATTGCCACACAAGCATTTCCAGCTTTTGTATTTGTTTGCATGCCATTTTTTTCATGGTTGCAGTGATTGGTTTTGTTGATTTGTATTTTGTAAAAGATGGAAGAGAAGGAAACAAACATTGAGAAAGAAAGGAAAGAACAGGATGAAAATAATATTTATGCCAATCACCAAGTCACCCATAGAGACCCAATAGGTTTTTCACAAGTTCATAGTTAACATATTGCTAAAAGTAAACATAAATTATAATTTTTTGTCAAATCAAAATTAAAAAATCATTTAATCAACAGACATTTTGTCTTTGTGGCATCAACTAGGTGAACTGTGGTTTCTTAGCCAATTTTTGTAGGAATTTTAACTTATAGTTTTCATGAGACACCAATCAAATACTGACTAAAAACAAAGAAACTCAGGGCAAACAGTGAATATGTCAATTCCTCCTTTCACTTCCTTTTAATGTATTCCTTTTATCTCTCCTCCTCCTTCAACTTTCCCTTCTGTTTAGCAATCTTTGCAGCATTTATTTTAATTACATCACCTAACTTCAGCTCCCTATCCTCCGTCTTGATTGAAAATGTGCTTGAATGCTGTCACTTTATCTAAATAATGACTTATGGGATACTACAGAGTGTGACAAGGATATAATACCCAATCTGCTAAGGACAAAACCAGCCCAAGATCATGGCATGAGCAAAAGAGAGGAGGGTGGCCTTTGATAGACTTGAGGACAGCAGATTGGTTCCATGATGTATGGAAGACTGAATCAGCTGAAACTACTCATCCAGCAAGATAAGAATCCATTAAGAGTGAAAACACGAGTCTACTGAACGAGGCCACATCAATGCATGCAAAGTAAGCACATTTTATTTTATTTTTCCATGAGAAAGAAGCAGCTAAAACAGGTGGCTTTGAAGCTGGAAAACCTTCAGAATGGGTTGTTTCTATGACTTCAAGAGTGCTGCTGTTAACACATTAATTATTGAAATAAGCGCCATCAACCCATGGGATCAATGAAATGACCCCAGGGCAGATAGCATGAATGGATGTTCTCATATCCCTAGCTTCACCTGTGCCACATCACATTATACCATCATGGAGGCTAAGGCTCCTTGGTATGACATTTGTGTTCATTACTTCAGAGGTTTATACCAAACTTGTTCAAGGGCGCCATCTGCAATTTTTTTTCCCTCAATGCCTGAGCAACTGTGCGAGATGCAATTCTGCTGTTTGGCTCTGATACATAAACGACACCGACAGCCACGAGTGGTGCTGAGTGGACTTTGATTACAAGCTGAATGAACTGATGAGAGATGCTGTAAGGCGTGAATCTCTGACGGTGGCGATGGTGATAAAGCTGCAGACAGCCTGATCCTGAGGGAGTCTGCTCAGCACATGATAAAGAGGAGAAGATGTGTGACCTCAGTCTGTGGCAGAGAGCACACAACTGTCGAACACCCCTGCGAAAAAATAAACCCCTCAACGAGGACTAACTGAAAACGGGGATAACTCTGCCTTAAGACGTTATCAATGATTAATTACTCTGCTGCTTTCACAATTTTTTGTAGCTTGTTCCCTGAAGCGTGGTTTACTGTGGGGAGTTTGCATGTTCTTTCTGGGGATTTTTTTGTAGTCTGGTGTATTAGGTTTGTTCATCATGGGCAAATACAACCCCAATTTTGAAAACTTTGTGAAATTGTAAATAAAAACTGAATGTAATGATTTGCAAATCTCATAAACCCATTTTATTTACAATGGAACGTAGCGAATTTATTACATGTTTAAACAAAAAAAGGTATTTCTGATTTTATTAGCAGCAACACATCTCAAAAGAGAGAATGGACCATGTTTCCTATTGTGAAGGTTCTCTTCTTCTTCTATCAACCAACTGTTAACATTTAGGAGCCAAAGACAGCGGCTGCTGTTTTTTACTCCAGTCTTTGCTGAATTTAACTCTAAAAAGCTTTTTTAAATATAAGGATGTTGATATATCATCAGCGCAGCTGATGCAATTTCTACCTAAACTGCTGTGACTGGATTGCGCAACTCTGAGTGTTCGCTTGTTATTTGCTCTACAAATTTCTACAAAGTTCAACAAACCATGCTGACATCAAGTTAGCTGCAGGCTTTCAACTTTTTCCATTTCTATCAATACATTTTGAAGAGCCACTTCATTGAAAATAGGCTCAAAATCAATCATCTGAGTTATTCTACTGACTCCATACATAGGTAAACTCACAGGAAGATGAATTTTCTGCCTTTATTCGAAATTTGATTATGATCTGAAACGTCGAAGAAGGTTTTTTTTTTTTGGTTATGGAATAGCCCATGTTAGCAAAGTGTGTACTCGTTTTCTTCACTTGACACATTTTGGACACTGTTATTGATTGAGGAGCTTTGTTAATAAAACAAATGTCCACATAGTTTTTAAATGCTTTTCATTTCCTGGCTTTCCAAGACAAATTGAATTGATTTGATGTTGCTGTGTTGTTGACATGAGCCTTTTAATATTTTATACCTTTTCTGCTATGTTTACATTGGATTTTATATATATATAAATATATAAATTTTTTTAAATTATTTTTTTTTGTATTTAGGATACAAGATGCTTCCTACAAAAAACATAATGTGGATCTTTTCCTAAAATTTTGAACGTTAAGGAAGTTGTGATCAAAATTACACAGTATAGCAACAAAGCAAAATGAAAGCCACTTGGTTCTGCTATAAAGTGTGGCAGAAATCCTGAGCTTGATTACACCCAAACAAACATCCAGAACCTGATTTTGTTGTGATTTTAAAGGGTTTTTAATCGTCTTTTTAAATACGCTGTCAGATTTGATTTTGGTGTGGGACAAAAATTTTATCCACATCACTATTTTATACTAAGTCCACTTACTGATCTGTTACCAATTAATCATATTAGTTGCAAAATGCTTGTCCAGATGTTTCTTATTTGTACCACTTACTTTGCTTCTGCCCCCACATTTTAAGATGTGTTGATGTTATAAAATGAAAATGAACTTGCTTGAAAAATGCTCCAGTTTGAATAAAAAGCTGGTTCATGAGATTTTTTTACATTTGTGTAAAAAGTGTTTCAACTTTTTCATCATAGTTTCACGTGAAGGTTTGTATTTTGCTTCGAAACCACAGCTCAGTCTAACTCACTCACCAAAAGTGGTGCCGGCATCAGGCCTGGAAACGGACGACACAATGACGAAACCAAAACCCTCGTTCTCTCCCCGCTGGATCTCCACATCGTAAGGCTGAAGGGAAGCAGGCACCACCGCGCTCCCGCTGCCCCCTCCACCTCCACTGCCTATGCCGCTGGTGGACCCACTGCCAGAGCTGACTGTGTTGAGTGAGTTCTGGCTCCCCTGAGGGGTTCGCTTTCCCTCAGTCAGACTCGGTGCTTGGGTGCTGCTGTGGTGGGAGGAGGCCGGGGACGGGGGAACGTCACCGCCTCCTTTTGACCCTGGTGGGCGAAGAGGGTGAGATCACATGGATTAGACAAACCGAGACAAGAACAAGTGATGGATGGACCGTTTATATAATAATGTGTGGCAAATGCAACAACACACATGTCCATGTTTTACGGAAAACCCTTATCACCTCCATATCCGGGGGTCTTGCGTCTGACAGTGAGGTTGACGTGGCCCTGCTTGGCAGCCTGCTGCATCAGCTGCACCACCAGCTGGTGAGATTTGCCCACTACAGCTGTGCCGTCCACACAGATGAGCTCATCACCCGACCTCAGGCGGCCATCTTCATCTGCGGCCCCATACTTTACTATGTGCCCGATGTATATCTGGAAAAAACAAATATTATGACCTCGCAAATCTACTAAGTGATAACTGTGCAACAGCTCTACAGTTACAATCCAAAGCTTATTTGTTTATACTGTGAAGTGAATAAATTCAGAATAAAAGAAAGAGCAGTCCTTGGTGTAAATGAGCAGCTACTGCTGCCTTTCTTTGAAGTATCTGCAGATGACATTTGGAAAACCAAGAGAGACAGTAACAGCTTCTGGAGCTGTAAAGAAAACCTTTGAATTGCACAATAACAGTTGGAGGAAGACCACAATTTTCCCTGAGCCTCGTGAACCACCACCCAACTGATTTGCTGCTTGCACATCACTTTTGGCACATTTAACAAGTCCAGCTCTCGCAAGGCAGACCTAAACCCCACCAATGTTTCATTTCACCTTTTTACCCAATTGCTGCCTATCAATCTCCTCCTGGTTGCCACTTTTAAGACAAAAATATGATGCACAATAGTAAGGATGTGGCAAATAAGGCTTTTGCTTCTCTTAACAAGCTGTCTATATGATCCTCTAGAGAGTCGCAGCTCCCGCTAGAGAAGAGGGGGAGTCATGCGTTAGAGCTTTGTGCTATTCTGGTCTAGAGGCAGACGCAACACAAAAAGAGGGGAAAAAACCGACAAAACTAGTTTAAGGCCTAGCTTCCCTAATGGAATGCACATCTCCCGCTACCTTTCATGGCTGAGTTTTTATGGAAGATCACCGTACAATGAGATGGAATGGAATTGCAGAAACTTTGATCTAACCTTTTAAATGAATTATGTGCAATCTCATGCAACATGTCTTTGTGCCTCAAGTATGTGTTGAGGGTTACTCTCAGTTACTACCACTCCAAACTTTAGCTTTCTAAGAATTTTTAACAAAATCTGTCCAATGGTGCATGGAATCATATGCTAACAAGCAAACAGGGTTAACTCTAATAGTTAATGGCAAAGTTTAAGCAAAGATATCACACAACGTGCTCAGCTTGGAGAACACTGGGATAGATTCTCAGCTACTACCATGCTAAGTTTTAGCTAAATATCTGTAAAAATGACTCAGTTATAGACATTTTTGTCTTTGATAGAGTTGTCTAGCTGTAGCAGCCATCTTGAATAGGGGTGTCTCCAAAGTAAAATCAGTTGATGTGCTGTATATCCAAGGATTATTTTCTGAAAGATTTAATAAAATCCACCCAGTGTTTCATGAAAGTGTTTGCTAACAGACAGACACAGCTGACTTCAATAGCGAATAGCAGATTTTTTATACCAATTTTCAGCTATTAGCACCAAATTTCAACTCTATAGCTGAAACACTGACCCAGTCATCGCCTCTTTTGTGTTTGCTCAGGTGGCTTAGCTGTGGCAGTCATCTTGAATGTGGCTGACTCTAAAGGTTATCCAGTTGTACAGTCCCCTCCAAAAGTATTGGAACAGCAAGTCAAATTCTCTTCTTTTTGTTGTTCACTGAAGACATTTGGGTTTAAGATCAAAAGACGAACATGAGGCAAGAGTTCAGAATGTCAGCTTTTACTTCCTGGTACTGTATTTACATGTAGATGTGTTAAAATACTCAGAACATACCACCCTTTGTTTGAACCCACCCATTTTTCAAGTGAGCACAACTTCTGGAACATGTGACTGACAGGTGTTTCTTATTGACCAGGTGTTTCCTTTAAGGTTGATTGTTCAAACATTAAATAGTTTTGCATGACTAGTCTACTTTTTGGCCTGGGTTTAAACCTATAATGTAAGTTCTTCTTGTAAACGAGGATAAACTAACATGAAGTCCAGAGAGTTGTCTATGGGAGAAAAACAAGTCATTTCAAAGTTGAGAAAAAATGCTAATCAATCAGAGCTATTTGACAAACATTGGGTACAGCAAGCACAACATTTTGGAATGTTCTGAATAAGAAAGAAACTACTTGTGTACTGAGCAAGATACATCCAACATGTCAGCCAAGGAAAATAACAGTAGTTGAGAGAAAAATTGTGAGAGCTGTGAAAAAAAACAAGCAAAACATCAGTAAGAGACATCATCAACAATCTCCACAGTGCAGGGGTGAAGGTATCACAATCCACTGTTGGAAGAAGACTCAGAGAGCAGAAATATAGAGGCCATACACAAAGATGCAAACCACTCATCAGTAAGAAGAATCTGAAGACCAAATTGAAATTTGGAAAAAAGTACAGAGATGAGTCGCAAAAGTTCTGAAGACAATCTTATGGACTGATGAGAGAAAGATTAATCTCTACCAAAGTGATGGAAAGACCAAAGTGTGGAGAAAGAAAGAAACTGCTGATGATCCGAAGCACACAAGCTCGTCTGTGAGGCATGGTGCAGGCAATGTCATGGCTTGGGCGTGCATAGCTGCTTCAGCATCACCAAAGAAGAATGCAACAGTTTGGTGAAGTTGATGGATCGCAAGCTTGTTGCAGTCATTGCAAACAAGGGTTATCCCACCAAATATTAAATGTTATTTACTTTAAGAGAATTTGCTCCAATACTTTTGCTCACATAAAAATGCTGTGGTGTTATACAAACGGTGATAAATCCTAAGTGGTTCAACACATCCACATGTAAATACCAGGAAATAAAAGCTGACATTCTGAACTCTTGTCTCATGAGTGCACAATGAAAATAAGGGAATTTTACTTGCTTTTCCAATACTTTTGGAGGGTACTGCAGATGTGTATTTAGATGTATTCTGTTTCAATGACATTTATCAGGGGGTTTGTATATTTTGCTAACACAACAAACACAGACCTTTTGCGTGAGACAGTAATGAGACACTGAAAATCACCCAGAGCAATATAGCTACTGTATGTGAGAACATGCACTTCAGTATCAAAAGCTATGCATACAAGTAAAGTCATAATGAGATTTAAAGAGATACTTACAGGCTCCCCAGGCTCATTTCCTCCCAAGATGCGAAACCCAAAACCTGTATCTTTCCGCCAAAGGAAAATGTCCTGCTCCTGACAATCTGGCACTGAAACACACAAGAGAATCAATGAGAGTTCTCCACAGACACCAGTCATGGATGAACAAACTCCTAATTCACTGAATGCTTTGTTTTTTAGATCAACAGGTTCTGTCACCGTGCTTTGTTGAGTTCTTGCAAATCCAAACAAAACAGGAAAACTATTTATTATTAATATGCTCCTGTGCTTTAATTAGTGATACAATAAAAGTACATCTGCACAATATCCACTCCTTTTATGATACAGTGCAATACAATATGCTCAGAAGTTAGGTCCTTCTTCCTGAATTCAGTCCAAAAACTGGTCTCTGAAGTCCTGTGTTCCAGCTTTGTTTTATGAGTTCTTTGAGTCTATATTATTAGCTTTGCAGTAACACAGCAAATCTGAATCACACGTTTCATTTCTCTCCCCCGTGTGTTGCATCCTTCCTGCTTTACATGCATACATCCACAGTTATTTGCATCTCGCCACAGAGCAAGCAGACTGTGGAAATAGATGCAAGCAGTTTGGTGTCAGTCTGTTCAACCCACCGGGCCACTACGCACAGGAGGAACAGGGCAGTTTTTACTGCACGGCCTTCTGTCTGCACGGCTGCCATGTAGGACCAGGAGTTCAGCACAACAGTTCCTCCTAGGGCTGCGCGGTATATGTGGTAGACGGTAGAAACGGTATACGATGGAAATTTACCCTCTATCGTCCTATTGTCATTACGTCATCGCACCTGTGTCAACAGGGCTGCGAGTGTAGAGACAACTGAGCAGGAGGAGGTTGAAATAAAATGAAGAAATTCTAGCGTTTTAAAATGCGTAAAGAGAATAAATCCTCAAAATTCCCCTCTCCCGCTGTAGAAAAGTTAGATCAGGATCATTTCCTTCCTCCCTTCCTCCACGTTGCGCAGAGCAAAATTTTAATAACAGCAGTTTTTTCACACCCATGTCAGAGAAAAAAACTTGTTTTTATGCATTGTTACAGAGATGATAAAAAAAGGCGTGGACGTTCGTTCAGTCATAAATCCATCTTGCTAATGAAAAGTCGGCTTCTTGATTAAGACTAGTTTTCAACAAAAAAAAAAGCTCTAAAAATCACATTATCTTTACTTCTTATGATAGTTTTCTACCGTGATATATATCATTACCGTGAAGGGATTCAATTTATACGTGATATGAATTTGAGGTCATACCGCCCAGCCCTAGTTCCTCCTATAATGTGGTCAGTTTGAAATTAAACGCTGCTGCTTGACTTGGTAATAACCCTCCATTGACCTGTGATGAGTAGTGATCTAAATTTACTGCAAATAACTTAAACAACAGACAGTTGACATAATAACATGTCATCCTTCCCCAGCTTTTAGTTGAATGTATCAAATCCAATTTTTTTGCATTTTGCATTGACTTTCACATTAGGGTCAAAAACCAGATCCAGTATTCTTATTATGTGTTAAACTTTCCTACATCCAACTGATACTCCAGAGACTTTCTGGAAAATTTGTAAGCATCTTAATAGCATTTAAATAACATCAAATACAACTCCTCAATGAACATTTTTTCTATTGATTTTAATGCTGTATTTGAGTATATCGACAGCATCATCATGTCTGTGCCTGACGCAGGTTTGAGAAGAAGAGTAAAAAAAACAATCAGGGTTTATTATTATTATTATTTTTTACCAGGCAGGCACACTCTGGCAGAATAATTTAGCTGCTATATTCAAACACTGTTTCACTTGACAGTCACCTAGAGATTTTTTCTTTTTACCAAGGATCTGGCTGGAAATGTTGCAGAGATTTGCATTCTCATTTGCCACCTCGCTGTAGGACAGTTTTCACGGCTATAGCACATGTGAGAAAATTACTATTTCTAGAGTGCCTGTGAATACCAAAACCAAGCTTTTGTCAAGTCAGCTAAGAACTGATGACAATAACAAAAACAACACTGCTTTTGAATTTTTTTCAATCCTTATCCAACTGGAGAGTTTGGAAAAAAGGGGCTTTTTGCAACATGAAGCGCTGCAGCCATGAAAACTTTCTGGAAATGTTCCTGAGGGGCTGTGTGTCAGAATGCAAATAGTTATAACAGTGGCATTCTGAACCTTTTTTGCAGCCAGCTACTTGGTAAAAACACTAACGCCCCCTTCACCTGTCAGTCAATACTCGCTGAAAAAGCCTCCGCTTTGAAAAGCCAAAAAAGCATCTTGAGGAAGCAGAAACAATCTTTAAGCAGTCAGGACGACCATTCAATCACACTGCCCTGCTCCTGAAATAGAGCTTTGCAACTGTGCACAACGAATGCACAAATCCTCCTCTTACAAATTCACCCAGTGAGCGTTGGGGATGTGAACAACATGAAAATACACGCAGAGAATCTGGGCCTTCTTGTCATTCTGTTTACCTCTCTCCTCTTTTCCTCTCTCCCTGCTGAATCCTGAAAGGGGCTGTAGCTCCTTCAGAGGTTATCAAACAGATCTAACAATCATCTGCAGCTTAACGCAACCCTCTCAAGACCTAGTTAATATTTAATTAGCACCAGTCCTACTTTCTGCTTGCTGACATTCCTGTTAAGCAATCCTGCAACATGCGGCATGCCAAGATTCACCTGATACCAAGAACAGTCGGCTAAAAGGCCTCGCATTCTTTGAAGTGATGCTTATCGCCCACGCGTTTCATGCCAGAGTTTCAATCTAAAATCTAAAAAAAGGGTTGTTTTAGTCAAACCTTGAAAAAACAAACTCATATGATATCACAAGATGACTCTCAGCTACAACCACATCAAATGTTTTGCCTAATATTGTAAAAATGATCAAGTTGTAGCCCATTTTTTGTGTTTTATTTGTGTAAGTTTATTTAGCAATGGCGGCCATCTTGAGCTGGTTTCACTTCAAAAGTTAATCAGTTGTAGACGCACATTCATTCATTACCTTCTGTAAGTTTCATTAAAACCTGTCTTGTAGTTTATGGGCCTTTTTGCTCGTAAAGAAGCATAGTTGATGTTAGCAGTAAGTTTTAGGTAAAGATCTTGCACACTGAGTGTAGATTATGAAGGAGTTTCAGCTACAACTGGGTCAAATTTGAGCTCACTCATCATCTTTGTTTTTTAAGGTCAGTAGGCTTAGGTGGCCGTCCTGAATCAGGTTGGCTCTAAAACGTATTCGGCAGTAGAAGTCAATCTAATGATTTCCCAAAAATTTCTCAAATATTTCCTCAATATACTGTATATTAAATGGTAAATATTTTGCTAAAGACAGACAGAGTTGACCCCAAATAGTTGGCAACTTTTCAAACAGCCATTTTGGGCAACATGTCAGTGGTCAAAATATGTGATGGAGCTCAGTTCCAGTCAGAACCACATCTAATCTTACTATCAATATCTGTAAACTTGACTGAGTTCAAGTTATTTTTGTGTATTTTAGAGTCAGCAGACTCGGACAGTCACCTTAAATTGGGTTGACTCCCAAAGTTGATTTTCATCCAATGATTACTTTTTGCAAATTTCATTAAAATGCATCCATTGCTTGCTGAGATTTTTTGTCACTAACCAGACGTGTACACATGCACGCACACATGTATAAACAACATTGCCCACTGTTTCGCTGTGGTCAGTAACAATCAATAACACAAAATAATATCTTTCTGCTGCTATAAAATTAAATCCTTTGCAAAACATGGCTTTGCCTTAATGCATATTGTGCTCCATACTCCTCTGATACATCACCTCTGGCACAAAAACAGAGTTTAAATGATTTAGTTCAGTCAGCAGTAGAGTGAACAGGCTATTTCTAGGGACTCTCTCCTTCTCATCACAAATATGTAAAGAGTTCTCCCATGAAAAATGCAACAACAAACCAAGACTGAAAAAGATATTAAGGCGTCTAAGGGCTGCCTACAGATTTGACTTCTCCAGTAGCTGCTGTGTAAATATAAAACCTCCCAATAACATCTGTAAGTTTTCTAAACATGGGTTTTATTGTTTCCTCCACTCAACAACGCACAAATTACAAATGCACTTAACAGTTTGTGCATTGAAAATTTTGCGAGGATGATGATCTTAACACAGTTTCATCACAACCACACTCATCTGCTCGCACATGCTTTCAAGGACACTTCTTTCTGGAGGGACCTTCTGAATCAGAATTTGTGTCATGTTAAAAAAAAGTATGGCAAATGCACAAAGACATTAAAATTTCAAGCAGCATTTACCCTTATAATATATAAAAAATAAAAAAGAATAATCTGACTATACGTATTAGAATAAATTCCAACTGTTTTACTTCTGCAAAAAAGGGCATAAAAAAAGTCTACTCACATCGACTCTCATACATGCTCCTGGACTGTGCCCAGATCTTAAAGGGGTCTGGCTTCTTCTGGAGGGTGAGCGTGCCATCTGCGGGGTCCTGGGGGGGTAAGACTGGCAGAGGCTGGGTGGGGGCAGCAGGAGTGGGGACCACTGCCTCACTGGGCATGGCAGAGGGTGGGTGGCTGGGAGAATCGGTGTGGGTGCTGCGATGGCTGCACACACTGTGCTGGGAGCTGTTCTGACTGTCTTTCCTCTCCAACTGGTGCTGGGTGGACAAAAAAAAAGAACAAAAGCAGATGTGTGTGTGTGTCTGTGTGTGTGAAGGACGAAGGTGGGTATAAATGCAAAGGGACAATATAAAAAGTCAGGGAAGAAATAACAGAGAAAAGGCAATGAATGAGTCAATGATGAGAGTGAGAAAGAGGACAGAGAACGAAAAAAATAAAACCAGCCAAGGTCATCTTTTTTAGAGTTTTGCAGCAGTACACTTTTCACACAAAATAATGTCTGTTAAAGAGTCAGGAGAAATGACATGGTTTCCATGGTAGCGGCACAAAGATAGTTCGAAAATATAAGCAATTTTTTTATGAAGAAACGTGCCGTTTTTAATAAATCCATTTTTGCTGCTTAATAACACATTTTTAATTCCCTACAGGGGAAAATAAAAAGGAATGAAAAGGTGCTCTCAGCAGGAACAAAGGTGAATAATCTTTAGTGAAAGCTTAAAACCAAACATCAGAAATGTTAAATCTGGCAAAAGACCTTCCCTTTGCTTGTAAAAACAGCAGACTGCAAAAAACTTCGCATAACTCTCACCAGATTGAGCTTTCAATGCTAAAAAATGTTTTCTTCAACAACAGGATGCAAAAAACAACAAACTTTTACTGCAGGACGATCCAAGAAGATCTAAGTGCTAAAACTGAAACTAAAGCACCTTGCTTCCTGTGGTAGCAAATCTTTTTTTTTAATAATCTTTTTATTCTAATACTGTAACTACAGATACTACACATTGCCACATATTTCCAGACTTACAATAAAAAAAAACACTTTCCCGGCACATAAAAAATGAGCCCCACTCAGAAAATGTGATTACTGACAGTGAAAAGGAGCCACGCTGACAAGCCGATCATTTTTTATCTAATAAAAATAATAAACCAGCGCAATAAATGGCAGAGAAGTCGTGGTTCTGTGTTCCAGTGTCTCACTCTTGATGGAGTATGAGACGACACCAGCGACGCTTCTTAATGAGGACAACAGCCACACAAAATTGTCTTCTTATTTGATCACAGGGGACTTGGCTAATGAGGTGGGACAGAGCGGTCTCATCCTGCAGTTTACTGGGAGAATCTCTTTAGACTCTGAACTGAAGGCAAAGTGGTTGTTCTTGGCTGCGGTGTGACATTTCACCGACCTAACACACAGGAGGGAGACGTCCTCTCCTCAGATGAACGCTAATCTAGAGCGACAGTCGGGCATTTGGGCCACTACTGGTCCCACTCGAGCCCTCAGAGGTGAACTGCCACATCATGTGACACGGTGAGGTAACACCCTCTTCCTTGGTGGATCCCAGGCTAATTCTAAAACCAAGTCAAGACTTTTGATGTCAGTCAAGAGACATGCAATAAAGTTCTTTTGTCTTTAATTTGTTGTGAATCAAACCTGTCACACAAAAAAAATCATTGACTCGAAAGTAAACTTTAACAGCTGTCTGATTGCTAAATCAGCATTTAAACTAGTTTTCTTGTATATAGTGTCCTTCTTGTATTTTTTAAATCAAACTACTTCTTCATAATTTGTGCTATTTTAACCATTTATGTGTCAAAATGCTCAGCTCGATTTAGAATAGTGTGCTATGACTTTTTGATTGTGTAACTTTTTTTTATATGCTTCCATCTATTCGTTTCTTTTTTTCTTTTACCCATTTGTTCCGGTCAGGGTTGCAGAGGGGCTGGTGCCTATCTCCTGTTGTTATTGTGTGAGAGGCGGAGTCACAACACTTTTCAAAACATGTAACTTTATTTAGGATAAAGTTTCACCTGGAAATACACTGAAATCCCTTCAATTCATTTAAAACACTATTCTCTTTGAAATCTATTTCAGCATTTTTGCTCTAGTTTGTTGTGTTTTGCTATTCTTAGCTTTAAGCTTTCATTCTGTTACTTTTTTATACAGCTTAACTACTTTAAATATTATTATTATTATTTTACTTTTAGTTTTAAACTATTGTTTTAGCAGCTTTTAGTGTTTAGTTATATTTTGCTTTTAGCTACCATTCTTCTGCTTTTAGAATTTAACAACTGTTTGGTCAATTTTAGCTCCTAACTGTTCGGCTACTTTTATCATTAAGCTACCATTTTCAAACTTTTAGGTTTAAATTTCAGTCTAGAGAATTTTAGTTTTTAGTTGCAGTTTTATGAATTTTTGATTTTAGTATGTATTATTGAATTTATCTTCTGTTTTAATTTTACAGTTTGAGGTAAAAAGGAATTTTTTTAAAGCTTTTTGTAACAAAAGGCCCTAAGACAAACCCTAACACAAAAAATGCAGTTTCTCCAGCATCTTCCTGTCAGAGTCTGATATATTTAGCCAGACATCAACTGAAAAAAATAACGTTTTTTCTTTAAACTTCAAACCCTCACTTTTTGCTTACAAAACCCATAATTCCCATTTTCCTGGTGTCTTTGGTTGACCTCTGTAATGATCTCTCTACCAGCTCACACTGTTGTCCCCTCCTTCTATCTGTACCTGTGTCTGATGATTCACTACAATTTTCTTTCCTTATCTTCATTCCCTTTGTTTTCCTATCCTCCTTGTCCTGATGTGTCTTTCTCCTGTCTTCTCTCATCTGTGGCTGTCTGTCCTCCCCAACAGCTGGTCACAGTTACACCACTCTGCCCAGGCTACGCTCAATCAGTCACAGGCTGGCAGCATGGCAGGAGCAGAGGGATGTAGAGAGACAGAGAGAGGGAGAGAGAGAGAGAGAGAGAGAGAGAGAGAGAGAGAGAGAGAGAGAGAGAGAGAGAGAGTAAGCCAACAAAAAAGTGACAACCCAGAGACAAAAATAAAAAGAGGGAAAAAAGGGATGTTGCAAGAGTGGCAGGAGGATAGAGATGAGGATGCTGGAGGAAGAAGAAGAAGAAGAAAAAAACCAGAAGAAGCTTTCTGAAGCTTCAGCAGAAAGAACAGCAAGAGTTCCACATCACACGCCTGTGCCTTTTGTTCTTAAAATAGCACTTCTTTGAGTAAGGAGCATGCATGATATGCAGACAAACAAGAGAGTTGAAGACGCGGTATCTACTCACCACCAGCTTTGGGCTCCTCTTGGCCGGCACCACTCCTGCAAAACATCGGCAGAAAGACAGAGAGAGCATTAATGACCTGCGGTGCTCCTCTCCCAGCGTTCCCACTCTGGTCAGAACCTCTTCGGGACGAATGGGTGGACCTGTGGTTTCTGCTGCAGAGCTGAACGCAACTGGCCTGCTCTTCCTCCCTCGTCCTCCTCCTCTCTGTTGCTTTCTCTCCTTCTCTGTGAGCAACACGCCGCACTAGGCTGCTTGAGATCTCCTCCCCCTTTTTTTTCTTTTTTCTTTTCCCCCCGTCTACTTGGCTCCACTTGGTGCTTTCACCCGTGCTAAGAGAGGGCGACTGATCTATCTGCATTAGGTGGACTAAGTGATGCTGCAGCAGCTGGGACGAGCTACAGGTTTCTGTAGGAGCCAGAGAACCTTCTGGTTGGTACCTGTCTCCAACAAGAGGTCTCAGCTGTTACACCACAAAGAAGGAGCATAACATCAAAGCAAAGCCCTGCTATATGCATCTTCTGAGTAGCTGCTTTTGCTTCTCTCAACTCTTTTTGCTCAGAGCTTACATGAAGAATCTGATCTTTTATCCCTGCTCCCTTTCTCTCTCTCTCTCTCTCTCTCTCTCTCTCTCTCTTTCCAGTTCCCTCCCCCTTCTCTTTTCCCGTGCACCCTGCCCTTCTGTGCCTTTATCCATCTCTGTCTCTCTTACACAACATACTGTAAGGAGTACCCAAGAAGATCAATGTCATTTCAGCTAATTAAATATTAACGCACAAAGTGAGTTGCCAGAGGAGCAGATTCCCAGTGTGTCTTTGCAGAAACTAACAATCATCCTTTTTTATGTGCTGGTTTTTCCAGCTCAAACAAGTCACTTCTTTTTTTTAGTCAGGCTCCAATGATTCGTTAGTCCAGCTTCTTCACAGCTTGTTGAAAAAAAAAAACTATATATTTTTTAGTTTAACGAAGCCCCAATATGCTGAGACAAAAATAGACAAATGAATGCATGAACAACATGAGGCGGGACCGGGACAAGGGGCTGCTGTTGCCAAGGCAATCAAGTAGTTCTGTATACAAAAGCAGCACAAAGACGAAGTTTCACATCACGTTTAGATAACCTGCAGAACTTTGATGCCTGCTAACATTTTATGTCCTAAACTGCAGTCTGAACCCCCCAGAACATAAAAAAAACAAACATAAAATCCACATTTGAACCAATTTAAAATGGAATCTTCCAGTGACATTAACACGAAACATGCAAACATCCATCTTAGGCGTTTCTGCTGCACTGGCAAAAAAATCATTAAATGTTAAAACTCTCTGTTGCTGTGAAGCCCCTCTCTCTACACAATTTATAATTTATCCCTATTTTCTGGCTCTTTCTCCAGCACTCTTTCTGTCTCTCAAATTAGGAACTAAATGGAACAACTCTGCTCCTGACATGCAGCTGAAATAATGTTTTAGATTTATTTATTTATTTTAGATCTAACTGATTGCCGATGCATGTGGGTGTGGACGACACAGACAAAACATACATCACAAGGTTAGATGTCAATAACTCCAGCCTCAGATTACAGCAGCAGGTTATATGACCCTTAAGGCTCAATCTGGGCTGTGTGTAGGAGGTCGATAGAAATGCTCCACTTTGAATCAACTTTTTAAAAAAATCACCAAGTTAGCAACAAAGTAAAAAAAAAGTTAATTTAATCACAGTTGTGTGGTTAAACTGAGTCATGCTAATAAGTAACAAACATATGAGGGACGAATGCAGTAAATGTTTATTAACAAAGTATTATTTATACTGTTGATATACATACTGTAACATATTTTGATAAAAAGGTTTATTAAAAATGATAAATATTATAAAGGGGTGGGAATTAAAAAAGTGTAAACTTCTTCTAGCTCCTGTTTGAACAAGTAGCAAAAATGACTGATAATTCTTATGCTGCAAAACATTTTTTTGTATTCTTGTGTATGTGTTTATATGCATATATGTATGTACTGTATATGCATTATTCTGATTTAATTTCCAGAGCTGTCTGATTAAATTTGGTTACATTCAACTTTTATGTGCAGCTGAAGAAAATATGACAAATGCATGTTTCCTCGTGCAAATCTGAGGCGGTGTGCATGCTCAGCAATCATAGGATATAAGTATTAGAGATAAGCAGGAAGGTGGGTGTTTATGAAACATACACTGGTGCCATGATATTGGAACACTAGATCTGCTTGGAACACCACATATAAATGTGACTCTATTTCAGATTGTTGTTATTGATCAATGGAAATGCAAAACTGACCTTAATGATCTTGATTTATTAATATTGGGTCATTTTTTAACAGGCGTGAGTGGAGATTTGACCAAACAAATATGAGCACTTTGATAAACGCAAATGTTCTCTGCATTTGCACTCCTGCAAAANAGTGAAATATATTTATGTTTGTGGTTGTAATGTGACAAAATATGGAAAAGTTCAAGGGGTATGAATACTTTTGCAAACCACTGTATCAATTAATCTAAAGACACACTGCTACACATCATATTAGGACCAGAATAAGTTCATTTTAACTTGCGTTTTTTCATTAAAACTTGTTTAAAATGCAAATGACCAGTTTTACATACGACAAGTTATTTTTACAATGTAACAAATCAAGCTCTGGCTTAAATGTCACTTAGTTCAGTTAAGTTTACATTGAATTTGAGGATATTCAGATCCTAAATATTAAGCAAACTGTTCGATTTTTTATGCTAATTAGTTTTGAGACTTTATGAAGCAGCTTAAATTTCATTAAAATTTTCACAATTAATTAAATTATTTAGGTCTGTATAAACAAAGTTATTAAGTTTGTACAAAATGAATGAAGTAATTTCCTGAATGAAGTAATTTCCTGTACACAAATATATAGTTTAAGTTCTTTTTGCCTGTAAGGCTTCAAAAAAGAAAGTCTAAATGTCATCATGTTGCATTTTTTTCAGTTTATGAATTAATGAAAGTTTATAAAGTGTTTTATTATCCTACTTTTAAAGGTCATGTAATTTTTATGGATTTGTACAAATTTAATGGTAAAAATAATATCCCTTCCACTTGGAAAAGTTACCCAGGTCTAAAGTTTACGGGACGACAAAGCCAGAAGATTGATGAAGAAAAATGTTGTCAACTTTCCTCAGGCTGCATAAGGCAACCAGAACACAAGGAGCACGACTGAAGTTCATCATCAGAAAACACAGGTGTGTCTGACAGCCCCGTAAGAAGGGAGGACACGCATGGTGTGCTTTTATTTAAACACTTAGCCTGATACTGTATATACTGTAGCTGTAAATTAAGTTCCTAAACCAAATTTCAACAGAAAAATAAAACATGCTAGCAAAGATTTTAAACATACATGTTGCTTAAACAAAAATAAAAATTACCATTAAGGCCTGTATTTGCTTAAGTCATAATTATGAAGACATATAGAATTCACTTAAAAGTTCAGAAACTTCTTAGGATTAAAGTCCAGTTTCTTATTATAATGATGTGCTGCAACTTTCTTCCTTTAGTTGCTTATTGGTCATAAATTTGAAAGTCTTTAAAGAGTGTACCCAGCTAGATCCCCCTTTCACCCACAACCCTGGACAGGATCAAGGGTGAGTGGAGGAATGGGTGGATATTAAGACAAAAACATCAGAATCCTTGAATTTTTTGGGCTACTTTTTAAAACATTTTGTCACCCAATTTAAACACAGGAATACTTTCCCAACTTCGCAATTTTTTAACAAATACCTGTCACATTTGAGAAAACACATTTCAAATTAAAAAGATTTTCATTTAGATGTTCTGACCTTGTCCCTTCCACCCTCTTAAAAACATTGCTGAATCTGAGTCTGACAGAGAAGATTGATGAGTCACTGATAAACAGATTAAAGCTTTTTCTCTCCTATCTCAGGTCTACCTTGTTCCTCCTCCTCCTCAAACTCAACCCATCCTTCAACTGTACATCACAAAAAAGCCAATCCTCTCATATACGCTTCCCCTCGCTGAACTTCCAGTGCTGCTCAGCAAATCTCACACACTCTGCTCTAATCCTCCACCTCCACGCTCTCAAATCGTGATCTCTGCTCGTCTTATTTCTCATGCACTCCTCTTATCTCACTCCTTTCAGCTATTATTCCTGAAGAATCACAGACGAGCTGCTAGCGATCGCTTAAAATGTCATTCTCAAGCATAAAACTCAGCACAGGTATCAGTCCTGGTTAGAGCTGTTCTTCTTGGCTGCCACTAAAACTAATGACTGTTTTTGGAACTGATTAATCTGTGGAGTGAATTCTGGATTTATCTTTATTGTTAGCTAATTATTATACGGTGTGGTAGATATTTTACTCCAGAGCAACAAGATGTTACATTGAAATGTCAAAGTTTTGGAGGAAAATGTGAATATTTGGAAGAAATAAACAAATTCTTTTTCAAAATATTTTTTTTGTCATTCAAATATTTAATTTTACCCTGAACATCAACCAGTGTTCATTGAGTCCGTTTGTTCTGATCAGTCTGTGTCCGAGTTCATAAACTGTTTGAATCATCTTATTCGATGTGATTAAATATGTTATGTTCCAATAGTGTAATTGTCAGTGTACGCATACATGTGTGTTCATGTGCTCATCTGCTAGCAAAATATCTCATGAACTACTGGACAGATTTAAATAAAACTATTAGAATTTATTCATTGTTTTTACATCTATTACTGTAAGTCAACCCCATTCAAGATGGCTGCCACATGTAACTGACTTTAGTAAACTCAAAATTCAGACAATTTTAAAGATTTTAAAGTGCCTGTGACATCAAATTTTTGTAATAAACATGAATGCATTTTGGAAAGATAACATTGATAACATAATGCAAAACAAATTTCATGTCGCTGAGATGAACAGTTGTTGATATATTTGAATGTGAAGAAACAGGAAGTGATGTCAAAGGGGAATGTCAGCATGTAAACAAAGCGTTGTTACAAAAGTTAACAACACAGACTGTAGAGAAGAATCTGATGATTCTTTAGATTA